CCTGCCCCCAGCCCTGCCCCCGGCACGGCGTTCCCGGACACCGAGGGATCCCTCCCGGGGGGATGGATGCTCCCGGACACCGAGGGCTCTCCCAGTCCCTCAGGACAGGGGGTTTGCCTGGGCAGTGTGCGATGGGCTGCACAGCCCCCACTCAGCGCTCACTTGGAACAACAAGCACAAGAGCTCAGTTTAAATAATCAATTCAAGCTTGTTTTGCATGCTTTTTATAATATTCTCTTTTTTATTACAATATATTATTATAATACTAATAATTCTATAATCCAGATAGACTATATAATTATATATAAAAACACAATATATGTAATTCCATGTATAATTCTATATGTAATTCCATGCACAATGCTAATATCCTATATATAACAATAGTATATTATTACTATATATTATTATAATATAGAGTATTATTAGAATTACATTATAATAATTATATTATCATAATAATATTACTATTATTTTCTGTGGAAACAGAGGGAATTGTTGGCTCTTGGCTCTGCATCAGGGCGGGCTTTGATGGAGGAACTTGATTTTTTGTCCCTAATCAGGCTGACACGCGTGGTGTGTGCGCAGCAATGCCGGAGCCCGGCCTGTCCCTAGCACAGTCCTTGTTTTTATTTTGTTGCTTCAGAAAATGATGGATGATTTTCTGTTATTTTCCACCTATTTATTTTTTGCTGCTGTTTCAGCCCTAGATGGTAAAACCAGAATGAAAGGGCAGAATCAATCCTTTTGGTGAAATACGCCACATTAAAAGATACAGAAGGAGAAGGGATTAGCCCGGCGTGCCTGGAATTCACAATTAACTGATCTATTAATCGCCAGAGAGGCTGCTCGAATGGCTCTGGCTTTTCCTGGTGGGAAAAGGTCTCCAGCAATGGGGATAAAGGGTACTGCTGCTCCTGCTTTTGGGGAGGGAATGCCTGGATCCTGCAGCAGCCCACTGGAGCAGGCTCTGGCTACCACAGCGAGGGGTGCCAGGATCCTGAGCATCCCAGGGGAGGATGCTGTGGGTACCAGCTCCGTGCCAGGTTCCTGGCTGGCACCGTGGCTACTGCCAGCCCCAACCCTGCTCCATGGCTGCTCCCATGCCAGGGGCTTCCAGACTCAGGGCACAGGCCAGGGTGGTTCCTGCTGGTGCCTCAGTTTCCCCTGGAGCTGCAAAGTCCACAGGCCCAGCCTGATCAGAGCCCAAATGGCAGCGGGGGTTTTGTGTGTGTGGCTGAGCAGAGCGTATCCTGCGGGCTGTGAAATTGCTTCCCTGGAAGCTGCCCATGGGCACGGGGATTAACAGGATGCCAGGGAGAGTGGATGGGGCTGGGATGGGAGCAAGCAGCCCGTGGCTGGAGGGGCTGAGGGACGTGAGTGTTTGATCCTGCCCAAATCCCATCCCAATCCTGCCCCAGTCCTGCCCCGCTCCCTGTCCAAATCCCATCCCAATCCTGCCCCAGTCCTGCCCTGCTTCTGTCCAAATCCTGCCCCATTTCCTGCCCCAATCTTGCGTTGCTTCCTACCCATATCCTGCCCTTCTCCCTGCCCAAATCCAACCTTTCCCAGCAGGATCTGGCATATTTCCAGGCTGGAATCCGTGGTGGGCGGCGAGAGGGAAGGGGGATGTATGGACCATGCTCCCAAGGTGCCAGAGCAGAGCATCCATCCCCTCCTGGATGACCCTGCGAGGCCTCCCAGGGCAGCTGGGAATCACCAGTGGGGAAACTGAGGCACAGGCTGTCCTGCGGTAGGTGCTGCGGCGAGGGGCGCGGCGGCAGCGGGGTCGGGGCGTGCCGTGCCCCGTGCCCGGAGCCTGGGGCAGCGCCTGTGCCCGGCCGGGAGCCCCGAGTGCCGCCGGCTCTGCGGGAGCCCCGGCTCGGCCCTTCCGCACACGTCAGCCGCCGCTGGCCGGGCGGGCTCCGCCGGGATCGCCGGGATCGCCGGGCGGCCGCAGCATCGCCCCGCCGGCGGCA